GAAAGGGTTTTCGAAAATGAACTAACAGAAACTTATTATATCCCATACTCAGCTGGAGGAGAAAAATCAAAGAAAGGTTCTGGGCCAAAAGGCAAATTATGGTGCAGGTATGTGAATGTGAGGGCTGCTTTACGGTTGGCAAATGCTCAAAAGAAACCTCTAGAAATTGAAAAGAGAATGAGTCCTGAGGAGAACATCGAGAACATGAAACAATTAGATTTTCTGAAAGTAGGTGTAGAGCCATACACTAAAATTCTGTCAGCTTGGGAAGACACACATAAGCTTAGGCGTAAATTGTACCAGAACACTGAACTTTCCAAAATATTCAATGACTTCCCATGTCTCAGAATGAATTCTGGCATTGAACTGGTGAGTATGAAAAAAATAACCTAAATTAATGTTGATACCAGTAAACGGGAATGTAAGAGCCTAGTTAGAGCAAATTAAGTTTCTCTCAGGTTTCAACAGTGTTATATTAATTAGTATGCAATGCTGTTGGTAGATAATTAATGATGTGCAATAATACTGAAAACATGCATCTAGGTCTTACTGCTCCTTAAATGTTTTTAAGTGTTTTCCTTATTTTATTTCATCAAGATACTGTCTCCGCTATCAACTCCTATGTGTATGTATAGGCTAGTGAATATTGGGGATTGCAGCAAAGAGAAAAGTAGACTTTAAAGTTTGTCTGAGCTTTTGTATAGCTTCATTTCCATCATCAGAGAAACTACAATGAAGAATATAATATTGTATTTCGAAGAATATAATCTTCAAATGAGGTACATTGAAAAAATATTGATTGAGGTTGTTTCCTCGGTTGTTTCTTAAAAATATTGAAAATATCTAAAACATTTTGGAAGAACATTGAAGAGTCAACTATTCTTTTTGTTGCAACTTCCAATATTCACAAGCTTGAACCTAACTTGACAGCAAAGACTACCCTTTCAAAATAGGTACCTATTTGTATATTCATATTTATTTTCAGATCGAAACAGATTTCAATAATAGGTTCCCTGATAAAATCGATCGAATATATTCAGAATTTCCTAAAGTGGCACAAGCTATATTGAAAGAGGCTGCGGAACGAAAAATCGAAATTGATTCAAGGAAAGGTGAGGTTTTTTGCATTTTATTTTTCAATTTTGATTTCTTCCATTGTTCGAGCAGAAAATCATCCTGATCATTACCCAAAACATTCATCCATACCAAGTTATCCTGGATTGATAAAATTAAAATCATTCTGAATGAATACACCTGTATTTTTTAAGAAAAATTGAATTGAATTATTGTTTCTGGTCTCATTTTCAGATGAATCAACAGAAGCTCTGCTCATTCTTCCTTTTCTGTTTTCTCCAATAACCCTAAAAAAAACAGAAAGGGCATTACATGGAAACCCACTAGATCTGAAGTTCAGGAGAGTTTTTTTCTACATGTCACGGTTAGTCATTAGCAACTGTGTATTGTTGAGTTTGATCAAGGTGGAATTTATAATCAAATACAAATTGTCCAATGCCTGCCTTCCCCATAACTTCTAAATCGTATACAGCGTGTCTCATAATTAGCGTGCAATACTTCACCAACAGATTTTACGATCAACAATAAGAAAAAAAGTTCCCATAAACTTGGGTCTAGTACTCCGATAGTACCCTGAAGATGGTTTTTATTTTGAATCTCATAAACTGTTGATAGCAGAATTATGAAATTCTGCACGTCGGCTAATCTTTTTATGTTTAATAATATGCGATGATCATAATTTCAAAATTTCATCCAGAAATTGGTCAAACTGTGGGGGCTGTGGCGTAAAATCACCCCAACTTTTTTAATTGCAGTTTTTCTGCAACTTCATCATACAACTCATAAAATCATGAAACTCTGAACCCTTTTGCATGAAAAGGTTCCTTTGTTTAACTCTTATAGGAAGCGCAGTTCTAGAGCAAAATCGATTTGAACGATAACATGCAAGGTAATTTATGAAGCATTTTTCAACCCAAGTTCATAGGAACCTCTCTTTATTTTTGATCGTTAAATAAATATGCTGGTGAAATATTGCACGCTAATTATGGGACACCCTGTATATCACGAATAATGTTATATACAAATATCAAGTGGATATTAATTTTTTAAATATTTCTCCATGTCTCCATGTCATTCTTGAATATATTATTTCTAGAACTATGATGAGCTAGAAGAGAGGATAACTACTAGAAGGACCAAATTGAGGAGTTATGGAATGACCATGCAACCATTTGCTGTTATAGTTAATGAAACCAAGAACTTTTATATCGTTATTGACGATGTCAAATACAAACTTGAGTCTGCAATAAGAACACTGGAGTTATTGTTCAAATTTTTCCATGCCCTGGATGTGGAGTACCCTACTGAATGTGAGCATGTGTGGTTATTCATCCAAGACTTAGTTTTTTCCATGAAGTCAACAAAAAAATGCCCATCAACGGTAACTCTCATATCTGATTTAGCATATCATTTGAGTATGAAGTAGGACCTAATAGTTTCACTCTTTGATTGCAGTTCCTGGCTTGAATTAGTTGACTAGTCATCATTTATTTTTGTACCTTGTGAAGTAATGTTTTAGTTATCACTCATAAAATGCCGAACTGTAGCATTTGTTATAATCGTTTTTTCACAATTAATGCTCTAATTGTTCATTTGAAAATTATCCATAGATGTGATGCTAATAGCCTTTACTTTTGTGCTGATGGAAACTGTAAAAGAAATTTTCCATCATTAAATTCCTTTCGTAAACATTTGAAAAATCATGTAAGTTGTCACCAAACATGTAATTCAGAAGTTTCTACTCTCAGTAAGGAAGTCAGTCATTCAGATGATGGAAATGGAGTTTTTGAAGAAACTCAGCATTCTATAACTGTTTCCAAAATCATTGCAGATGGAGACATTGTTGATTTACACAGTGAATTCAAAAATGCAATCATACAGAATAATATTTCATTCATTTGCAAACTTTACAATGAAAAAACTTTCTGCAGAAAAGATATTCAAAAAGTAATGAATTATGTGAGTGAATTACTTGGAAAACCACTGAATATTTTCAAGAAGTTTTTTCTAGAACAAGTTTCACAAAAATATTCTATATCTGATATTGATAAAGACCAATTCAGGAAATTTATGGAAGAATTAGAAAACATGTTTGATGACTTCAGAAGTGAACATTTACGATTGAAATATTTGGAAGAATCAGGATATTACATAAAACCTATTGAATATGTCATTGGTCAGCGTTTGGTAAATAATAAAAAATCAGAACCATCTCCAAAAAATTATACTGCTCAACATATTCTATTAAGGAATGTTCTAGAAAAATTCATGTCTTTACCAAATATCTTACTTGAAACTATTCAGTACATGGAAAAGTTGAGAAGTGAACCATCAATACAAAATATAGTTCAGACCAAATTTTGGAAAGCGAAAATTGATGTTTATGAGGAAAATGATATTGTCATACCATTATTCATATATTTTGATGAGTTTGAAAGTGGAAATCCCCTTGGCTCTCATTCAGGTATCCATAAATTAGGTGCCATTTACTGTTCAATTGCATGTTTGCCACCAGCATTTGAATCACGTTTAGAGAACATATTTTTGATATCTTTATTCCATGCATCAGACTTGAAAGAATTTGGTGAAAATGTGTTATTCAGAAAAATGGTATTTGAATTAAACCATTTGAAAAGAGAGGGGATCACTGTGAAATTACCTGATAAAAATGTGAGATTATATTTTTGTACTGCCTTATTTTTGGGTGATAATCTTGGCCTCAATACAATACTTGGTTTCAAAGCAGGATTCCGGTCAAATTCATTTTGTCGTTTCTGTAAGCTCATCCGAGCAGAAACAGAAATATCAACCATTGAGAATTCAACAAAATTACGAAATATTGACAATTATTCAAGCGATTTAGCAGCCAATAACTCTTATTCAACTGGAATACATTTCTCCCCGATTTTAAATAATATTGATCTCTTCCATGTCACGGAAAACTATTGCGTTGATATAGCGCACGACATTTTTGAGGGAGTAGGGGTATTTATTATGTGTGAGCTATTGTATCAATTCGTCATCGTAGATAAATATTTCTCTCTAGAAATTTTGAACAATAAGATACAATTCTATAGCTTCACTGCAAATCATAACAAACCACCACTTATTTCCCATGAAAATCTGAAGAAAAAGTCTTTGAGAATGTCTGCATCTGAAATGAAGAATTTCATTCTACATGCAGGTTTGATTCTTGGGAATTTGATACCAGTAGGTAACAAACATTGGCAGCTCTATATTTATTTAAGAAAGATATTGAGAATTGTACTGAGCAACTTTGTTACATCAGCTATGTGTAAAGAATTAACTGAATTGATAAGTCATCATCATGCACTTTATATGAAATTATTTTCTCTGCCTCTGAAACCCAAGTTTCATTTCATGACACATTATCCATCAATTATCAACAAAGTTGGTCCATTAGTGAAAACTATAACTTTGAGATATGAATCTAAGCATCGACAGCTTAAACTTGCTGCCAATGTTGTTTCTTCTAGAGTTAATATTACCCATACACTTGCTGTGAAACATCAATTACAGTTGGCTTCACGATTGGTTGATAAGGAAGGTTTAGTGAATTCAATCTCATTTTCACAGAACAAACCCTCGAATAGTAACATCAATGACATTCTTTCAAGTATTCATTTAGAAGAGTTCAAAACAAATGTCATCGATGTGCACAGAATAACTTATAATAATACAGTTTTCAAAATAAAAGATGCAATTGTGATTTCTTGTGATGAATATCCAAAATTTGGAATTATCACAGCAATAATAATAAGTGAAGAAAAACATATTTGTTTCATTTATAACATAGTAGAAAATATAAGCTTTTGTGAACATTTATTTGCTTATGAAGTGAAAGAATCTCATGATATACAGTATATATTACTGAATGATATTTATTATTTTGACACATTTGGAACTGTTTTACGTAATGGTAAAAGATACATCACACTTTTCTCATAAACATCTATTTTTAGTATGTTATATTTCATATGAGTACACTGTCTCCAACCATCTTTCAAATGTGCCTCAAATATTCTGTTGCAACTAACAACTTCGTTTCAATTCCCTGTGATTGGTTTTCAATTATCATAAACAATCTAGACATTTTCTCCTGTACACTTCATGTCAGTGGAAAATGCACGAAGAGGTTATCGAAAATAGTCCACCTACTCGAGCTAGTTCAGTCGGAATTTTGAGAAAGAGATCTACCAGAAACTAAAATAATCGAGAAATTGTCTACAAAGGGTGTAACAAATTCGTGGCTGAGCAGTTGGATCTCGGTACCCTTAAGAGATACAGAGTCGGTCAAATCAGGACAAAGTTACGCTTTTTCAAGCTCAAAGAAATGCTGCTTCAAAGTTTGAAAATTTCCAATCATTTCCGGAGACATCCACAGAATAACAAAATTGTGCAAAATTCTTTTCAATAATTTCTCATCAGTTTATTTGAAGAGATATTTTGGAATGAATGACACTTCATCATTGTCACGACGTTTCTACTTCAAGCAGCCACCAGCTTTATTTTTTAAAAACGGACCTTGATTTTTCATTTCGTTTTTCGGTAGTTCTCGACCTCCTCGATACAATGATTTACTACAAAAATCAAATCAATATTTCAGTGGTAAAAATTGGTTGGTTGATTATTGTTGTTGTTGCATCATCGTATCGAGGAGATCAAAAAATATCGAAAGACAAAATAAAAAATCCAGGTCCCTATGTAAGAAGATGAAGTTGATGGTGATGGCTGCTTGAAGTAGAAACGTCGGATTTTCAATTTGTCAATTCCTTTTTGTGGAGGAGAAAAAGTGATAATGATGACGTGTCATTTATTTCAGAATATCTCTTTAAATAAACTGATGAATGAATGACAACTATTTTGCACAATTTTGTTTGTGCATACCCAGAAATGATTGGAACTTCGAAGCATCATTTTGTTGAGCATGAAATAGCGCAACCTTGCCCTAATTTGACCTACTTTGTATCTCTTGGGGAGAAGGTATACCAAGATCCCCATGCTTAGTCACGAATTTGTTACACCCTGTATATCATATGCATCGAAAAGAACGTTTATTTGTAACCCGCAAAGAATATTTGAGTTCCACATACATTTTTTCAGCAAAATAGTACCAAGTTGACTCGAGACAGCTATCCCTAGGAGTGATATTTTGATTTGATAGGTATATTATTATTTTTTTTTTTTTAAACTCAGTTATAGTTGAGATTTAAGGTATAGGTCTCTTGAATGTAGATATACCAATTTGTTCCTATTATTTTAGCTTGTAGGTATTCTTCAAGAAATTAATTTATTTTGTCAAACCATTTCCACTCATTGAATGGAGTTATTGTTTATTTTGGTTGAACCAATAAAAATTTGTATGATTGTGTGCTGAATAAAAATACTTTTTTTCTGATTTTATATTTTCATTGCCTTTCATCAACAGAAGTAGGTATTTAATTTTGGTTGCATCAGTGAATTTTCATTAGAACAGTAAAAGTAGTCCTGAACCAATCCTAAACGAATCCAGTTAGGTCAAGTTGATAATCAAATCATTTTCCATCAACAAATTTTAGAAAATTAATAAATATCATCTATTGGGTTCATTTTTTTGAACTTCTTTTTAGTTTGGCTACTTCAATTTGTTTTGCCTATATAGACATCCTTTCCTGTTATTGAGAGAGTATCATTAGGATACAATTTTCTATCAAGACTCAGCAATATTCTGTTAATATCAATTATTGCTTTTTCCTCTGGGTACAGCATGACCTGTCCTTATTAAATTATTTTACACAAGTCAAAGTTCGAAGCAATAGTCAATATAGACAGAATATTGATGTGAATCTTGATAGATAATTCGTATCTTAGTGATACTCTCTCAATTATGTACAGAAGAGGAAAGTGAAGGTGAAAACGATTTGGAGTAATCTCCACTGAAGAAGCTCCAAAAAAATGAATGTAATATATAATGTTTATTTATTTCCTATGATTTTTTGATGAAAAATGATTCGCTTATCAGCTTGACATAACTGAATTGATTAATTACTTTAATTAATTAATTTAATTACTTTAATTAATTAATTTAATGCCAGTCATGGGTTTGAGAGAATAACAGCAACTATACTAGTTAATTATCCTAACGCAAGTCTTGAATGATACCTATTGGGTTACCAGAAGAATGCAACGAGAGTCTGCAATTATAGATATTGAGTTTGGCAATGCTGGTAATTAAAGTACTGAATGACATCAATTCAACCCTTCGATCGAATCAATACACCTTATCGAATGATCATAATTCGTTCATGGTGAAGCCTTAGAGACATACCTAATTAAATTCTTTGATAACTGTTATTGAGTTGTCGTAGCAAAATGAATTGAATAAGAATAATAAGACAACTAGGCTGTCCCCTATTTAATTGAAGT